TGACGTAGATATACGTTATTTATTTGGAAGAAGAAAGATTATATGGAATGGAGTTAGATGAAACAATGAAATTTTACAGAAACCAAATTATACCAATATATAATGAAAAAAAATGGACATAAAGTAACAGCTTTGTATATTAAATACTGTTTTTACAAGGAATGTTATCGGGGCGGAAATATTGGATTTTTAATAATGGTTTATGGAAAGAACTCTTGTAATATAAATTGCTCAGAATACAAATTATGATACACTTTATTTTGAACTTTAAAAAAATAAACCGGGGTTTAACGTCTTTTTTTTCTATGGATATACGCAACGCGGTGTGGTATGGGGTACAATTTGTCATGACAGTGTCGCTATTGGGCATAGTTTTATTTCGACCTCTGTTTTGCGTTCCATCGGAACGACTAGACGCTTTGCTTAATCGGTGCATTCGTCCTGCACAACTGGTAAAGGATCACCTAAAGACTGCAAAATTCTGAAGAAATATCTCGGCCAACACAGGGCCTCTTGGTTAGTTGTCATGCGCAGTACTCACCGAGCCACGGAATGAACTTTCAAATATTGTATTATTTCTGTTAATTCAGGATCCGAGAAAATTTTAACCGTTTGTAAATAAACCTCTAAGTAGAACATGCATTTCTAAAGCACGTTATTCTTAGGGAACTTGATTAAAGAATCTTCTGGAGAAAAGATGGCCAAAGTTGCTTTATGAATTTATGATCAATATCAGACCAACAAGGTTTATGTTAGATGCAATAATAAACAACATTGAATTATGTCGTCAGCCATGTTTGAAACAGGTGTTTCACTTTATGTTCAGCTCATTGGTTAATAATTATAGTTTCCAATTTATATAAATGTCTGCGTTTATAGATTTGTACATTCAGTACAAGTTAAATAGCAGACGTGACCAAGCGCCATCTTTTGTCGAATGGAAATGGCTATTTATATTTAAATGTCTGCCAGAATTCATAGGATCCTTGATTGTTTTTATGGGTTCGTATTGTTTAGTTTGATTTAAATTAATTTAACTTCGTGTAGGCACACTATTCATTTTCCAATAAATACGGCTATTAGTTCATCCGCCATTAATCAGTTTGTATGCCTGTACACGTCTTCATCTTTATTCATATTCGCATATTCGATGCAGAGCTGTTCACCATATTTTCGTAATTAGGACCAGTCATTGGGGGAAAATATATAGTACATGAACAAACTATTGAATTATGTTATTATTGTATGAATAAGTAATGTTATCGATATCTCATACATATATACATATTCATAAAATGATTAGGGAAAATCTGCATATAAGCAATTTACTGTCACCAATATTTTAATAAATATTCCTGTTCTCCGCTACCAGACACGTATAGCTAATTTAACACGAAGAAGAAAATGGATTCTTGAAAGCAGGAACAATAAAAAGTCCAATTGAGACATTATGTGAAGCAGAACGTAGTTAGACATGGAGTATTCGAATGATCGATGTCGATGGACTCTTCTTGTAAAAAAAAATATTATCATTGCTCCTTTCTGATAAATCGTTCACAATAATATCAAATTCACTTCCCAGTCTTCATACCAGAAAAAACTCTTTATGAAATGATAATCTCCAGAACTTATTTCAGATATTTTTTTTCTTTTCTAGAATGCGATGGTATTATGTTCCCGTGTTTAATCCATCATGTGTCATTTAAGACTAATTTGATTTTAGATTTGTCTGCTAAGAAGTTCTAGGTTACTCCCCTGACGATAACCAGAGTGCTCAAGATTGCTTTTATTCTAATCCAAGTGAAGTTGGTCGTGCTACTGTTAGCTATTTGTAGAGAGGCCGATGTGACAGATTGCGACAGTTCAATCGATATGTGGCCACTACACTGTTTGTAATCACTTTAAAAACAGATCAAAAACAACTTTAAACGCCTCTTTCTACACAAATATATCTTCTCTCTTTTTATTGTTTTGTTCCAACAGCGTGAAATTTGTAAAACCCATTTGTTATTCAAATTAAAATGAATGCTCCCGGATGCAATAAAGTTCGCATACGGCAGTATTAAATACAAGTGATCAAATAAAGACTACAAATATTGATTGAAGATATCAATAAATTGGATTCAGCACAATTTTCAATATCCCGTGATACATATTGTAAGCCATATTCTGAAAGCGTAATTTTGTTACTGAGGAATAGACTAATCATTGACGTGACACAGACTAAGAATCTTGACTTGTGTCAGCATTTCTGTTGAACCATTTTGTTCAACAAAAGTCTGTCTTTTTTAGATGGAGCTGATGTAAAATGCCCTGTTTCAGCCCCACACCCCTCCCTCTAAGCCGTCGTCCAATTGAATTCCAATAAAGGGCTAAATATTGAAATCTCAAATCTATATGGTCTGGGCCGCAATGGAGGGCATGGTGTTTTTAGGCACCAATAGCATCATTAGTTAAGATATATTTTCATGGTCCAAGTGGATTCAAGAACCAAACAGATAGCTAAGACATTTGTCCTACTGCTGATTACTTACAGACACTTCATCTTAAATTTCTTTTGACCCTTCCTGGAAGATACGCACTAATGTCATTATGCATTATCAGAGTAGAGTATATTGGATTGCGAAAAGATTATGGCCATTGGTCAATAGGTGTATATATAGTGCTATGTAAACTACAACTCATAGACTAGTTTATACAAGTTCAACAATATATTAACCTTCCAGCCATTATTATAAATTTACTGTTATTACAGCATTAAACATTAACATTGATAATCGAATATTTTGACCAAATATTGCATTAGCTGGCTTAACTATCGATTTCTGCCAGTCTAGACAGTAATATGGTATCCTTCAACTGACTTTAAGGCCAAAACAGGCCAACTGGAATCTGCGTTTAAAGAACTGTCGTATTCGATATGAATTTATGCCTAATCCTGCTGACTTGATTATGTCTTTCCTAATTAGATTATGTATTCAGTTGAAGGCGTAGTTGTTCATTTAACATCGTTCAACTAGAGGGCTTAAACTGGTGTGGTTGGAACATAGATTAGTTGTAGCAATAGAATGTATTAGACACATTATCATTTTTGAGGCTATTTTGTCTATGTTTCAAAATGGTTTTTCAAATTCTAAAGAATGTTTCATCTGCCAACTAGACCAATAAAGGTTACGATTTCAATAAGCTTCACATACTTTTCTCGATGGTTTTGAACTCTTGTTAGAAGGTTTAAAATACGGATATCATAATTGAGTCATTCTTATACTTGAAAGAGGTCTTCTTTCCGTCACCTAACCAGAATGAATACATTGGCGTTGTTTAATTGGGTGTTTCATTTGTACTCATATATCATGGATGCATACAATATCTTTTCGAGAATAACTCGGTGTTTTAAGTAGTCTAAGACCAGCGAGACACGAAAAACAAATTTACAGACAGGGGAAGTTGTTTTAATTATAATCTTACAGCTTAGACCCACTTATACATATTTTGTATTCCGCGTTTATTGGAAAAGTTGTCAAAATTGTCTAGCAGTGGTATATTATGCAGATGTCAGCGAAAACGTGTTCATTTTAATACAGACTGTACCATAACCACCACTGACCTATGACCTTTTTAGCAAAAACTGGACATTGCTATTATATACACGGCGTCAAATCGTCTCTATCCAGCGATCAATGAAGCGAGTTTTCCTTGAGAAAATCACCCGATCTTTCTTATTAAACTGAGGTCAGCGAAAGTCTTCATCTATGCCCGTAGGGCAAACACTATATATCTTTGACTAGATGTTCCATTCACTGAGAACAAAAACTTCACCACATCACAAAAAAAAGACAGGCTTTCGAATAGATTGGACTTCATCTACTTGACATACATACAATTCTAAATTGATGTTGGCCAATAAACTTAAAGCGACATGATGTTGGTCCCATTCAAAGATACTTAACGATTAGACACGCTCCACCATTTTGTGATTTCAAATTGTTAGACCAAGTTTAATTTTAGATAGTGATAATTATCTGGGGCATATTTTTGAGTCTTCTGGTCTTCTTGATTTTTTTCTTTTCGTGTGATTTATTCTGTCTGACCTATGCCAAATTGACACAAGATTCTTGAACTGATGGACTGATGATTCATTTTAAAGTGGCTATGCTAATATTTTGTTTAGTAAAGGGGCTGGTTTGCCATGGATGGACACACAACAAATCAATGTTTATAACAGCCCATCTTTATATCATGACTGAATATCATTCAGAAATATCATCGTTTAAATAATTTAAAGGTCGCAGTTTGCTGATTTTTAGTTTTAAGGCTTGTTTTTATATTTTACTATATTCTCAATAATAGTCAGAGAAATGTAATGGTGACCACAAAAAAATCACAATGCAGCCATCACACAGGTTTCAAATGCCCTGAATAAATAACTTTCAAAGTTAGATCAAAGATTGTAATGGACCTAGCTCTGTCGCTAAATTTCTGTTTAAAAGATGCACAGACTTTGACCTTTTTACAGATACTTTACACCAGCAAAACTGAATTACTGAATCTGACTTTATTTTGTTTCATTCTGATAAAATTTATCTTAAGGGGGGAGGGGGGTATTGCAACAAATTGCTTGATATCTATATGAATAATAATCATTGACCCCAGCGTATAAAGTGAATGATAAAGCTGATAAAATGAGTAATAAACTCATACTGTATACAATATTTAGTATTGTATGTATACTAGTATCTTTATATCTTTCCGTCACATGGTCTAGGATGTCCGGCCATTACTATAGCGGAACGGATGTTGTCAATTTCTGTAATCGAAATAGCCTAATATGATACATTAGTAGAGCGAGGGGCGTTACTCTTGCCATTTTGGAGATTGAATAGGAGTCGCTGTGGAGCAATTACTGTAAGCATGATCGATATATTTTAGCTAACTATTTGGTAAATATGGACACACTTTATATTTTATTTTTGATTGGCATTATTGTTTTATTTTTTCAGGTTAAATTGTACATATGGATCAATGTGATGACTTGACTATGAAAATGTCGAATACGAGTCATTGATGTTTAAGGTAGGTTTGTTACATTTACAAATTCATTATTATAATATTTATTAAGGGAGTTGACTTTGTTCAAGCTTTCACAACATGTCGAATTTATTCTCAATATAAAAACACGAACTTCTATTGATTGCAATATTTAATTAAATACTAAACAGAAATAACGTACCACTCCCCTTTATGGCTTCATCTTGATTTATTGGATGTCTAACATCGGCATATTGAAAAATAACCCCTTTAATTGAATGAGCAAATTTAATTGAAATGTCAAATAGGATAATTAATAACAATGTTGAATGAATTGTTGCAGTGCCGTTACTTGGAGTGTAAACAGTTCTACTGATGTACTAGGGTAGATAACTCTCTTATTATTGCACGCCTCCAAGACTTGTGAAAAGCAAGTTAGATAAGAGGGTGTGTGATGCAAAGATCAACATGAATACAAGTGTTATTTTATTTGTATACTTTTTATTTACATTAATTGTTTTGTGAACAGTTCTACAGTATACTATGTTTCAACTGACTTAGGTTTTATGAGCTCAAATGATGCTAAAACCAAACGTGGAACCGCCCACTTTTTAATATTTTTTTTTATTAATTGCTCAAGGGTTCTTCTACTAGTATTTTAGCCATTTGAATTTTGTATATTTATGTAAAATCGAGCCTTAAAATGTTTTAAATCGATGATGATAATTTTATTTCTAAAATAAACTTACAGAAAATGGCCCTCCCCCCAATCAAATTTTAAAATCTTTCAAATTTGTATACAGGTTTGTATGCGGGTTTCTAACACACTCCAATCATTTGAAAAGCAAAATATTCACGAAGATCATTTAAAGGACATGTTCATGATTTATACAATAATGACCATTTTGTTCAAATGTCCTTTCATTTACTTATTATTATAAGTACCACAGTACATACTGATGGTCTAATCGCTGTGATATTCATTATATATATATAGTGTAAGTATGTATGTGTGTGTATTATGTAGACCATTTATCAGGTCAAGCTCGTACAATTATGTAAAGGTTAAGTGACAACTAGAATTTATTTATACCTATCTATGTATTCTATACGCCCTGCTTGCATGCTTCACTGAACTGAACCCCGAGGAATTTGTCCTATATATATATATATATATATATATATATATATTCTCATCACAATTCAAGTCTCAAAATCAACGTGAATAAATATGTATTTATATAGGTATATACACATGTTTTCAATGCAATGTTTCGGCTGAAACGATCTATTAATATACAAGTATATATAACATGGCGTATACTTTCATCGTACAAGTTTGTGGACACTGTATTTCATAATATAGCAAACCGAGCCGAGATATATATGAAATATGAACGACATTCTAATCTTAGGTTAGCGTAGTTAGAAACGCAAACTTGCATTTAAAACCCCTGAATTTATTAAATAGCCCATGGTTATAAACAAGGGAACATATATTTATGTTCTTTTACACGTATATAAATTAAAATAACCAGGAAGAAACAAACTGTAAATGAGAATTTAGATATATTAATGGGGTTGGAAATGGTTATATTCTCATATTTATATCAGAAATAACCGTAACTCCTATTTGTCAGAATAATATTATATTTCTCAACATATTTAGTGTTGTGCGGTTTTATTATTGTCTGTTTCTCAACAACCGACTTTGAAAGTGGTGACAATCTTAGATATCGTGTCATATTAAAGCTCCAAGATGCTGCCTTTATTGTTGTTCATGGGGTGGATTGGGTGGCTGAATTGAGTCAAGGGCGTCTTCTGTCTAACCCCGTGGGGTTCAGCACTTCCTATCACCCCCCCCCCCCACACACACACACACACACTACTGAAGCCCCGACGGTTAAGCGATATATTGAAACAAAATTGTAAAAATGTGTCAGTCCCGAAATGACTCGCTCTCTCTCTCTCTCTCTCCCTCTCTCTCTCTGTTGCTGAGCAGCTGGCTGATTTGTTGTGAAGAAACACCTTGATGTCTTTGATATCTTCAATTACATCCTCTACACCACAATTTCGATCACACAGTACAATAACAACATGGTCTACACATGCCCAAAATTACAAAAAAGATATAACAGGTCTAGCAAAAAGGAAATTGTAGAACGGTAACTAGTCTGGTGTTGAACGCATGTCTGAGTTTCACGTTAACAAGAAAGTGTCGATGATGAATGTAGTCTTAGACTTATTCTTTTAAGACAAAATGTAACTGACTTAGGTCATTTAAAAACAGGAAAACATTTTGTACTCTTTTGAATTTTTTGGTTTTAAAGACTGTTTAGTTATTTGTTATTTGATTGGTTTGGGTTATTGGTTTGACTGAAGTTCATTTTCTTATGTTATGATAATAATATAGTTTATGTTGAAATAGATTTTTTGAATATTTATGTATAATTTGTATAACTTAAAGCTTAAGTTAAAATATTATGATCCTAACTTGCTATTTTATTGAAAAATCCCTAAAGCTATAGGGTAGCGTCATTCAATCAGTATTTAGTACATTTTGTCGGGTTTAGTCGCCGAGTCCACTTTTACTTTAGTCTCTATCATCGTGAAGAATATTTACGGATATTAGTCTGGATGCGTTGTCAACATTTGAGGATAATAGGTCATTGGCTAGGTTATCCGGTTTTTTACATTATCATAAACAAAGTCTAAGGGAGGTAACTAGTCCTAAAACAATAAGTCGGCGCCCATCAAGTTAATTTAAGAATGCCATTTCAGAAAATCCATTTGATTCCATTGCCAGTGCAATATCCAACACTCTTAAAAAAAATTTTATTGTAAAATTTCTCTCTTCATGGGCCATATCTACGTATATTTAATTAATCCCAATTCGTCGTCACGATTCATGTTTGTTTATAATAATGCAAGAATTATGGGATTTATTGCGGGAAGGAGCGCAACTACCGGATAATCAACCACATCCCGGGCAATGGAACTTTTCGTCAAATATTGACAACGGTCCCAGACTCGCCGTACGTTGAAGAGTAGGAGGTTCTGGGTGACCGAGACTAACTTAACATATAACCTACATAAAACTATAAGATACTTATGTGCGCTCTAGATATTAATATTATAAAACTAGTATACATCATCATTGTGGCTCATTAGGATTAAAATGGTGTTAATAATAGGCTTTATAAAAAAGTAATATAGTATTAATGCTTGTAGATATTTAAAAAGAATTATATTTTTAAAATACAACTTTTATCGATATGCTGTATTCATTGCCTATGTCTCTAATATGTAATTAAACATTAATGATTTAATCTTGAAACAAAAAAGAAAATATATATTGAAGAATTTATGCCAATTTATAACATACTGCATGCTGACGTAGGTTATTCCGAAATAAACGGTTAACTAATTTCAGTGTATGAGGATGTCCCTTATGTTATTATCGGCGCATTGCAGAGTATGTATGTGATGGCATTTTAGTGTATGGGTATGCCTCTAGTATTACCCATGTCGCTGTCCCAGAATATATACAAGCATTTCAGCGTGTGAAGATGTTCCAATATGTTATCATCGTCGAATATATGAAATTGTTTCAGTATATGAGGATGTCTAGCATTTAAGTATATGGGTATGTCCCCTTAATGTTGTCATCGTCGCATAACCTTTCAGTGTATGGGGATGCCCCTTATGTTGCTTATGGCATCTAAATGGTAAATTAAAGCTGTATCATTGCCAATAATACGCGTGGCTATGTAACTTTGCAGCAATAATAATGTTTTAAAGTAAACACAGCTGCACATATAAGCCCTATGAAGATAATCCATGATGGCTAATTGATATATTACTGGTTTAAACCCAGGTGATCGTGATTTGTGTGATTTTAAAAAATTTCAGTGCAGAGTAATGTTAGCTATGATTGTATTTGGGATGGGTTGCAATAAGTATTTAATATCAACCAATATATATATTGGTGTTCACCATGACCATCCCTACATTGTTAAAACACATTCTTACATTTTTAATATGTGCATACACTGAACTAAAAGTTCAACTGTGTTTCACGGTACCCTTGAGGTTAGATGGCTGTCCTAACAAAGTTTTTATTAAGGCAAGTCCAACAAAGTGTAATGCACCCCCAATGCTTTGAGGTTGTATAAAAACATTTTAACAGAGGATGTTCTCCTCTTAGAGTCGGTGTGTGCACGTACGTTCTATAGGTCAATAGCTTTTACCTTGTATAGAACAGATCGTAAAGTGTGATAAGTAATATATGTACGTCAACCTATGATTATATACACCATCAAATGATTAAAAGTGGTATAAGTTATTGTCTGTGATCTCCACAAATGCAGCCTCACATCGCCATATCTGACTTGATCGACCCCAAGAGAAGAGGTATTTTATGTCGGCTACAGACGGATCAATCATTAGTAAACAGAACAAAGTATAATCTTTTGTATTTCTATGTGAAACTGGTTATAGACAAAATCCACTGATTGCATTAGGTCATTAGTTTCCTACTAGTATTTAAAGACTTAACTATACACATGTTGTATTGTTCTGGAAAAACACGAGTCGTATATATCGTGTATACTAATTGTAACGAGATATTATGTATGTAAAATAGATTTGTTGAATTGTATAGAGCATCATATGTTTTCCCCTCTAGATTTAAAACTAGACGACATTACTTGTATCATGCTGCTCTATTAACAAATATTATTTTCAGCTCTTTTCTAACGCCACATCCGATTGTCCGTCCATTCAGGGGACATCAAAGAAAAAGAGAAAAGTAAATGAAATGGATTATCATGGAACAGGCATATTTAATTACAAACTGGCTTTTTATTCCGGGGAAGACTAATGACGAGGTATCACGCCATCTTCTCCAATATTCAGCTTGCCAGGTTGCAAACTAAGGGAAAATGATTATTCTGAGAACGTTTGTATCAGTTTGTTTACATCGGTTTCTATGACGATAGAACGAAGGTTTAGGTACGGATATCTCTCGAAGAGATCGCGAAATC